ACCACAATTACTCTAATTTATATTTGAATTATATTTTGGTAAAATTACATTATTTTATTGGTACACCATATCCCAATATGTTTCTACGGCCCTCTAATCTGCACAGTAATTTATATTGGCCCGCGTACGTGTCTGTTTTTGATAGCCCTATTCTATAGTCTCCGTAAAGATCTAATATAAATGATTTATATTTTGCATTTTTTATGATATATTTAATCATAATTCACGTAAATTATTTACTTAAATTTTTCGATAGGATAATAACGATCGTATTGAAATAATTATAACGATAAATAATTTATTTAAAATTTTAATAGGAATGAAATCTTAGTTCTGACAGTTATCTCATTCTAGCTGATATTCAGTAGAAGAGTGACTTAGGTTCTGATACAGCAATACTGAGTATTTATTCGAATCATACTGCAGCATAAACATTTATTAACAATACTGAAATAAAGTTGCATATTAATTCTCCAATAAATTATAAGGCATCTGAAGCTTAAACATAGCTCTACGTGACTGTCTGTTGAGACTCTAAAAAATACCGTCCCTACTATTCTAGATTCTAATTATGGATTAGCTGTTTAACTTGCATTAGCTTCATTGTTTAGCTTCAAGCAGATAAACTTATCATAGGAGTTTTATTTATTTATTTCTATTTGAGCCAGTGCACTTTTACTCTTTCTTAACTCGAGGTATTTTTAAAACCCCTCTTTACGCCTTGTTTGGAATATTGTTTATCACTCAACAGACTAAGCAATAATGGACCTCAGATTGGCATACCTCTCCGAGGAGCCTGTAACCTTTCCGAGATTTGATAACGGGTTGTTGGCAAGTCCGATGTTTTTACTAACAGAAATGTACAATCATTTCTCGAATTGAAGGAAAAAAAATACACACAAGGAAATGGGTTTTCTGCTGTGAAGAAAATAGGGTTACCATTAAACCAAGCAGAACGATACTACTGCGGTAAAAAGTTGTTTTATTTAATAAAACAATCAAATCTCTGTGCCATCCTTGGTAAAAGGCTCAATTGGCAACAGAGCTACAAAAGCATTTTTCGTGATATGAAGTCACATGGTGCGTATACACGATATTAAACAATATTACTGACATTATTACTGATATTACTAATATTATATTTTCTTTTATAATAATAAGTAGCGCAATAATCACATACAATTATTAGATTTTAGTTTTTATAAACTATCTTCAGTTTCCAATAGTGGAGATATTCCAACCATAAAATATTTATATGACAAAAAAGTTGATAGTTAAATTAAACAAAAAACTAAAAATTATTGTAAATTAACTATTGTTTAATAACTTTCTACTTGTAAAAACTACCGCTGAGTAAGAGACATAAAAAAACACGCTGTTCCACGATATTTTCGACACAATCCTTAAGTGACCCATTTCACCCATTTCACTATAAAAAAGAGATTGTTATTTCCTGTTTTCAACTAATTGAGATAAAATTCTTTTGTCAATGTTGTTTTTTCTTTCATCGAACTTTTGACAAGATTTACAAAAAATTTTAATTAACTGCAATTTAAAAATCCCTCCTTAATTTCCACCTCGAATTAACTCTCGCATATTAGCAATCAGCGCCGAAAATAAAAAGACCCGAAACAAAGTAAGCCGCAACTTGTTTGGCCACCGAATGGAAAATCAGATTGGATCAATTTTACTTTTTTTGATTATTTTTGTATTTTTGTATTTTATAGTTTTTTAATTTTTTTATTTTATTAGTTTTGGGTTTTTAGTTTTCGGTTTTCGGTTTTTTATGTACTCGTATTTTTTGGCCAAATGGCAATTGCGTGCCGCACTGGGCGACATTTACACATTTATGCTGATTGGATTGAATGGTAAGACAAATCCACATGAAATTGGGGCAACAACTTTTTCAATGGCACACCACTGACACATTCGCGTATCCACGTACCAACTTGCTTACATTTGTATCTAGAAGATACACTTGCGGTGCTGCGATCTACGATATTATGCATTAGTGCGCCGTCTGATGGTGGCGTTTTGGTCATATCATAACGATCGAATGATCATTTTGGCGTGTTAAGCATATAAATTTCGTATTTTAGAATCGCTTTTAATGCGTATGACTGCCTGAACCTGTTTAAAATGATTTTTTCATTTTCATTTAAATTTTAATTTTTTTGTTTTTGTTTTTATTTTCGGAAATTTCTTAAATTTTTTATTTTTTGAATTTTATTTTATTTTATTGTATTTTATTTTTTTTTTGTTAAAGGATATACATTATTTGTAATATTTGTTGCTGTCTTATAAGTAGTTTAATGCATATTTCCTTTTTATATATTAAATTTAGGAGAAAATAAGTATTTTAATTTTTACTGAATCTCACATTTTCGCTATTACTGGATTTCGTCGATTATGTTGTCGGGAGAGAAAGTTGTCTTTATGCATATATGTTTCACTGATTTCAGAGAAGTGATCTTGTCTGCGCATATGTCCACTGTGCCGCATGTGCTTATGCTAATGGATGAAGTGCTACATATTTGCTGTAACCGTCTAAAGTGAGAATGACCATCTGAAAATCTGAAAATCTGTTTAATTTGTAATAAATTATGCTGCTTCATAATGCAGTACGTACGCAGCGACATACACACGCACGAACGATAGATATTTTTATCTTAACCAATTGGTATTCACATAAGTTAACAAAAAAAAAAAAAATAGTATAAAATAAAGTGAAAAAAAAATATCATAAATAAAAACTAAAATGAAATTGTCATACTTTTGTATGCGGTTTTATTAAATTACCTTTTTCAGCACGCAAGTTTGCAGTTCCGTCTGTTGTGACATCTACAATTGGCGAAAGAAATCAGAGTTGCGAGCCAAATACACAAATGGTAACATAAAAATTCCTTCAAGATTTTCACTACTTAATTCTGCAATATAGTATGTGCAGTGCAGAGCTCATAAAAAGCATATTAATTATAACCTACAGCAACGTAGCAATCTTGAAAGATTTATGTATCAACCTTTTTTTGTCCAACCAAACTAATACAGTCCATTGTATCTATGTATATCGCAAATCTACGCATTTCTCTACGCCAACATGAACGCGTTTTCATTGCCATTGCTACACCACCTCATCAGGCAGTCTCCGGCTCGACTGGCATTTTGATATGTCTACTGCAGCTTGATAGATTGCTTATTGCTGCTCGTCACCAATAGCCAGCAAAGTTGTCAACTCAGTTTAAGATAAATTGTCGCCAATAAAGTAAGAAATGAAAATGCGAAATTTTTTATTGTGAATGAAACTGAGTTATATCTTTATTTTTTCTTGAATATTTTCTTGAATGTGCCGTGCCACTTCTACGATATTGGCCAATTGCTATTTTATTTACGATTATATTAGCCTTGAACTCAATTGCTAAGAAGGAACTAAAAGCTGACATGCAAGGAGAACACGTTTAATAATGACTGAATTTTTACAATCACAAAAGCGAAACTAGCACATTTGTCTGTGGCTTTCATTGTCTATCTCAGAATTCCGTTTATTATTATGTAATAGAAGTTTAGATATCGCCTACATCCGGATATTATCTATTATAGGGAAAACTATCTTGTTTTTTGTTTCTTAAATGAATATAAAAAGTTTTAACTAAAGAGGAAACTTAATGCAGATACCACCAGTAAGAGATGTCCCCAGTTTTTTGAGCCAACCTGCCTTGTTGGCTCAACACCACTGTGTTCTAAACACACATATCAAGAGATTGCGACAATAGATACCCCATTTAAATTCCAAGGAATTCTTTCTTAAAGTTATGTGTTAAGCATAACTTCCCTCTTGGAAAGGAGCAAGGTCATTCGACCATTCTTGATCTGTGGGCCACAGTACCCGATATGAAAACGCAACTCAAGTAAATATATGTAATCATTTTTCACGCGTAGCTTTGGAGGTTACCCACAGCCATTGCTAAATTCAATTGGTCAGGTCAGCAAAAGCTACGAGAACTGATCTTCTCTGTACCAGATACACACCTCCGGTGGGTTGACGCAAGTCCCCATTATCCGCATGGATGACTACCAGTAATATTAGTATTCATGTTACTGTTAATACTAATGCTTATAAGGTGATATTTTACAGTTGCTCTTTATGTTTGACTAAGTTGAAGCAGTAGGCTTCTACATGAAAGCTCCGTTAAGTATAAATAATGGTCCGTTGTAACACCACCGTCAACATCCACATTGTTGCTTAATTTATATTTCGTTACTAATAAGTATCGTTTACCTGTATAAAGAAATTGAAAAAGAATTTGATCTGGGCCAACAGAACGGTTTTGTTGCTGCCGCAGCTATTTCCGCCTGATATTAAAGTTCCTCAAAAAGAAATATTCTGAGCCTCATTGAAATACTAGATACTCAATAACTTAACAGTTCATCTTAATCTGCGCTACCATCTTAACAACTTATGTCCGAGTTGACAGAATATCTCCTCTACAAGTAAATGACACTACTAGGCAGTTGCTTATAACTATCAGGCTTTAAACTGAACCAGGAGGACAATACTGCTGGGGGAACTCTTATTTTCACTTAATGTGAAGAACTCTTCAATGAGGAATATTATGGTTTTTATTTTCAAAAGAAAATCCATTTGGTTGTTATAAAAAAATCAAAAAAGATTGCGGATCTCTGCTCCATTAACTATTTAAATTCATACAGACTTCTAAATCTAATTACGGAGTGCTTTATATTCGATTTTACATAAAGTAGGAACTAAACTGAATATACTGAGTTTGATATATACAGAGTACATAGTACAGATATATATTAGGACATTCATTATGTTCTGCTTTATGCATGATAGATCATAAAGTGTAAAGCAATGAGTAGGAAAAAAATTTAAATTTAATTGAGACTATTGCCATAATTCATATTGTTATATTTCATATTTCTATTTATATTTTCATAAAAATATAGAATTTCTAAAGCTAAATATCTTTTATTATTTCCAGATTGCATTAGCTGATGAAGTAGAAGTGGTGAAGCCCAATAAAGATGAAATATCCGATCATGAGAATGAAGTCGATCAAGTAGCATTGGAATCAGAACAAGAACCACAGTCACCAACGAAAGTATTATACCAGCATAACATTCAACAACAACAGCCAGGACCAGCAAGAAGTAAGCTAATTATTGTAAAAACAAAGCTGTTTTGTTTTTTAACAAAAATTAATTAAACATATTCTAATCAAGCAATGATATCTATTCATATAATTCCAATCGTTTTCTTGATTGTATGTAAAACTTTCTTATATTTACTTATAGGTAATCATCAAAGTATATCAATGAGTTTGGGTCAACCCTTCGGTCCACCACCGCCGCCATCACAATTAGCTTATCAGGGTCCACCACCGCCACTGCCACCACAACGAGGACCACAAATACATGCACCACAAGTATTGCCAGACTTAAGCGTTGGCGCTTCAAATACAAATGAAGTATGGTCTTCACCAGTACAAGATATGCCAAAAATAATTTCGTTAGATGTTAAGTGTGAGAAGAATGGAATGAAAGTATTTGTGCAATTCGACAAACCATTCTATGGCATTGTCTTCTCGAAGGGTCATTATAGTAATATGAACTGTGTGCACTTACCATCCGGTTTGGGACGTACACAAGCTACATTCGATATTGGTTTGCATGAGTGTGGCACTGCTGGCAACACCGAAAATGGTCTTTATGGCTATGGTCACGATTCTGGCTCGGGTACCTATTTCGAAAACATAATCGTTATACAATATGATCCACAAGTACAAGAAGTTTGGGATCAAGCACGCAAACTACGTTGCACTTGGCATGATCAATATGAGAAGAGCGTAACATTCCGTCCGTTCCCAGTTGATATGCTTGATGTTGTACGCGCCGATTTTGCTGGTGATAATGTAGGTTGCTGGATGCAAATACAGGTGGGCAAAGGACCTTGGGCTTCGGAAGTATCTGGTTTAGTTAAAATTGGTCAAACTATGACAATGGTCTTAGCTATTAAAGATGATGACTCCAAGTTTGATATGTTAGTGAGAAATTGTGTAGCACATGATGGTAAACGTGCACCGATTCAACTCGTTGATCAACGTGGCTGTGTTACTCGACCAAAATTAATGTCACGATTTACAAAAATAAAGAACTTTGGCGCTTCAGCATCCGTACTTTCGTATGCGCACTTTCAAGCATTTAAATTCCCCGACTCTATGGAAGTGCACTTCCAATGTACTATACAAATTTGTCGCTATCAATGCCCTGACCAGTGTTCTGATCCTAATTTACAGGAAGTACATCATTTACAAGTAGGACCAGAATCGCAATATGGTCCACCACCACCGCAGTTGCATGTTGATGCCTATCATGTTGGAAGTGCGATAACAAAACGACGTGATGAACGTCGCGTACAGCGTCGTGCACGTGCCGTAGATCCTGAACAAGAAGTTGGATTGAATCGTATTATTAAAGTAGTTTCCTCGGGTGATCTTACTTTTGCTATTGACGAAAATGCGAACAATACTGCCACAATTGCCCCACAAACTATGGTCTTTCCGGCAAGAGAAGATGGCCTTATATGTATGACAACACCAGGTTTCGCAATTACACTAATTGTTTTGCTGGGTATATTGCTCACATCTTGCATGATATCTGCCATACTATATGTACGTCTAAGGCCATTTTCCTCCTTTGCTAAGAAGGAACGTGCAGTTGCTTACACGAATCCACAGTTAGCCGGTGCGTTACCTGTTATACAAATACCACCGCCCATACCAACTCAGGGTACACTCTCCAAAAAAAGACCTTTATCGTGAACCTGTAAAATAAATCTTTGTAAATCTACCGATTGGGAAATTTGGTAACAGCTATGTGCCAATATCTAAACACTATTGCGCTGAGTACTCGAACTACCAATTTAGTCTGCAAATGCTTTCTCTTTTCTATGCTAGGACTAGTTTCGGCTACTACATGTCAACAATTCTGACATTATTAAATGTAAATTACAATAATTTATTAATTAAACAATTATAACAACTCTATTTAATTTTAAATAATTTGCAATATAATTGGCTTTTCGGAAATAATACCAAAAATAAATACAAAATACTTCTCTTACTCACGTCATCCCCTTTCAATCTTCTCAACACTACTATGGGTCATTTAAAGGTGGAAGTCTATACGTTGTAGTATTTATTCTTTTATTTAGTTAAAATAAAAACATAAGAATATCTGTGCGGTGCTAAGCCATATATAAAGTTCAAAGTTAATACGGAAATTTTAATTTTTATAAAATATAATTTTTTATTTTACACTTTTATATTTGTTGCTTTGGAACACCATTTACCTCTTTGTAACGCTCTACTTTGTCACTTTTTTTAAATAATTTCTTATTATTAAAGACTTTGTAGACTCTACATACTTTGTTTAGTCATTAAATATTTTAAGTGCTTTTATTAGTTTAAGTTTTAATAAATGGTATAATTCTAATTTAACTATTTATTTAATTACTTAATTATTTATTTTATTTATTTGTTAGTCTTTCGCTATAACATTTCTTTTTAATATTCATTTTAACTTTTATATATACAATATTCTCTGACTGAACTTTAACCATAATTTTCAATCAATTTTCAAATATTTATTTCATTAACAATAATAATAAAAGTTATTTAATTAAACGATTAAAAAAAATAATTTTTAAGTGTATGCAAAATGTACAATGTTTAAAATTGAAGTTTTTTATTTATTAAATTTATTTATTGAATAAAGTATTTTTGAAAAATTATAACAATTTGTTTTTTTATCTTGAATAAATAATAAAAATAACAATTTATTACTCTTTTTAATTGGGTTTTATTTTTTGAAAGGATAAAAAAGGAATGCAATAAAAGAATCATTCATTTTCAGAATGAATATCATTTTTATACACTTACAAGATATCTACAGAAAACTCAGCTAACCAGCCAATGATTGTTCCATTATTTGCTTGTGTTCATTTCATTCACTCAAGATCTTTTACACACGTAATAACACTTGTTTTTCTGCGCAAGCATTCACTCATTCGTAATTATTTATTTCCTTGCTCATTATAAGATTTTACACGTAACGCATACAACTGCTTGTACGCATCATGATAGAGCAATAGCGAGAAGATATCCAAGAGAGAATTTAAAAACTATAGTAAATACTTCAAATAGGTGGGTATTACACACATTTTCCGATTCAATCAGATTTAATCATTCAAAACTCCAGTATCATTCAAATATCAGTTACTGCACATTTATTAATAATACAAACAATAACTGTATGAATTATATAGTAACAAGTAGAATAGCAAGGACAGAATAGTTATTTAGTTAACAAATTAATTCCCAGAGTTAATTGTTAAAATATTTTTGTATTTAGTTTATTTACAATTTATTTAGAAGAACACATTAAGGGATACCTGTAGTCTATGTTTTGAGGTACGCTGTTGTGAAAAAATATAATAAATAAGATCAGTTGTGTTCACTAATTGTTTTTACTTTTGAACTATAGAATAGGGTAAGCGATTAAAGGATAATATCATTATATATAGAGAGAAAACAGATGGTTAAAAGAAAAGAGAACTTATGCCAGTCAATGCGCCATTCAGATATTCATCTGTACAGTACTTTAACAGAAATTTACTAATTGAGAAATAATAGTGTATTTTTATAAGAAACATTTTCGTATACAGATGGTGTCATGCAACATCCAATGACAGCCAATTGAAATTCAAGGTACTGAATTACAACATGACTCCGTTTTATTCAATTCCACTCACAAGGTTGAAGTTGGGAGGTTCAAACTAAAGTAGCAGTAACATAACATCACCTTATTGTTTCGTATTTTATGTAGTTTTATTTATTTATCCCTGCCAGAACAGCAGTTGGCGAGAGTTTCAGATGTATGGAGAATGCCGGTCAGTAGGCAACAGCACCAACTAGGATTGTAGGTTTAGAATTATGGTGATCTTGAACTCACCATGACTGTTATGGACAGAGTTGTCACTTTTTTCTCTTCTTTATTCGGTCCAATAGTAAAAAATGGTAGCTGAGAAAAAAATAGGTAATGACTTCTATCTGCGAAGGAATTTACATTTAACAAATTGTTTTACAATTATGTATATTAAACAGTCAATACTCTTGGACTTAAGCCTTCTGGATCAGCAAATTTTTATTGGTATTATGGGTTAATGTAATTAGAATAGAAAATTTAATGAGAGAAAAAAATATTTAATTTGTGAAGCTGCAGTATATTTACTTGTCCATGGACATTAAAATTCTTAGGAGAACTCAGTCTCTAGCCTTCAAACCCATTAATCACTATGTTAATTCGTAAATTAAAAGTTACCTAAGGAGATGAAAACTAGATAAATTGCGTTGACTTTATGTAATCTAACACAATCTTTCATCCTACCGATGAATGGTTAAACTGTCAAAGACAAAACTTGGCAATGCTTGATTGTTTATTTTGTAAGTTTTCACCATTTCTACAACAATAATAAAAGTTTCTCTGTAAGGGTGGTTCTTATATACCAATGAAAAAGTATTCAAGCTCTCCGTATAAAAAAATTTCCTAAAATTGATCTTGTTATATGACGCCAAGTGTTCCAGAATGTTATACATGATTGTAGTTTGTATTGCTTAACACTAGTTCACTAATATTAATAGAGTTTACTACTTCTGTTATAACGATCCCCAACGGCACATACAACAAGTGAATGTGAGCTAAGACATCTGGTCTTTTATCCTCTTCATTATTTCTATGTCCGGGAAACTAGTTACACTTTTTACAAACTTTGATTTTATGATGTAAGATTAAAGATCTTTATTTGTCGATTGACTGTCATTTAAAATGACAATACTGCATCTGTCCTAGATGTGATTTGCAATTCGTTTCTTCGCTTATACTTAAGCCCGAAAATCCATGACTTCATTAGGTAACCGAAGAGAATGGTTTATATCTGCAAATAGGAAGAAAACTCTAGCTCCCTACGCTTTAATCCATTTTTGATCTATCTATAAAAATTATTAAGTCGTATAATGCTAGAAAGTTTCTTCTTTTCATTATGAAAAGAGTATATAGAAAAAGAGTCTATATATCGTACTTTTTGATACACAGAAACTAAGGAAACTTTAAATTTTTATGAACATGTTAATGCTGAAATCCTTTATATCATCTATAACAATAGAATTTCTTACGTATTAGAAATTAGTATTTTCTTTTCGAAATCAAAGATTTCAACTTCTGAATGAAGATAATTCAGTTCAAGTGTAACGAAGTGAGTTTTTGTTTAGATTTATTAAAAAATGTTGTTCCGTATGTTAATTTTTGGAGTACTATAACTCTAAAAAGGCGTCAAATAAATATTTATATATATTGGTTTTATATAAATATATTAAATATTGTCCAAATTAAATACTAGGATTTAAATTAAATAATTTAAATGTTCGCACTGCGTGAAAAATACAAACAGTAAAACTGTATTATATTTTATTTTACTATAATGAAGTAAACAAATTCATATAACAGTAAATACTCGAACACTATTTTCGAGTGATTCAATGTGATCGAGTAAAATATTAGTTAGATCCGAATCATATTCGAACACCAAGTGCTCAAAGCATTAATGCACACACTTAATGCACAGAATTATACAATAAAACAAATTTATTAAGTAAATTTGCATTGTTATAATTATATATTTATTACAGAATTATTAAATATGTCTAGATTTTAAAAAATTTTTTAAATATTCCTAACAAACACATGATTATATTTATTGTTTTTCATCCTACGTATCATACTTTATTCATTTTAATACTTCCCAATTCCTTAGAAATTCACCACATCTACTGAACTCCACTGAACACACACCACGCTTCTGTGTTATTTGCAAAAAATAGAACTTTATTGTGGAACCAGCAAACTTAAATGTTGCTAATAACAATTGTCGTTAAGTGAAGAATATTTTTAGTCCAGCGATTTGTTTTTAAGGAACTAAATTTACTAACTGACGATAGCAGTCAAATGTTAGTATTTTTAGTTAAAAATTAAAAACAATAACTTTAGAGCGCACTCTTATACAAACATCGCCATATAATTGAAAATAAAAATGGTAAGCAAAACAGCATAAATAAAAATAATAAAATTTTACACTCAATGGTGAGAAACATACATTTATTTATGAAGAAATACACTACAAATCCTCCAATATTATATATATGAGTAAACAATGTATGATTATGGGTACACTAAAAACAATATATATGATAATTATTAAAGCCGCTTAATAGTAGCAACTCCCTTTCAATTTAGGTTATGTTGTGGATTAATTACAAATTAAAAATATATTTTATTTACATTTTATAACCATATACATATTTTTGTGCAGGAAGTACAACAGCTTGAAATTCTTTGCAAGCAATTGTACGAAGCAACGGACTCTGCAATAAGATCAGATGCCGAGAAAGCATTAGTGCAATTTGTTAGCAGTCCAGATGCGCTGCCGAAATGTCAGATGTTGCTTGATCGGGCGGATTCAAGTTATGCACAACTCTTAGCAGCTACCACACTTACAAAATTATTGCAAGGACTTACCTTAGAGCAGCGCATTGATATAAGGTAATATTTAATAATTGCTATAAAATTGTGTATGTAAATATAATTCAATATATGATACTTTTAGGAGTTACGTGCTCAACTATTTGGCAACGAGACCAAATCTTGTACACTACGTGGTGCAAGCGTTGGTTACATTGATTGCAAAAATTACAAAATATGGATGGTTTGATGCATATGAATCTGAACTTATATTTCAAAACATTTTGGAAGATGTTAAAAAATTTTTACAAGTACGTGTAACTAATTAATAATGTCTATTATGTGTTAATATTATTGTTGCTGTTTTAGGGGTCTGTAGAACATTGTACGATTGGTGTTCAAATTTTATCACAATTGGTTTCAGAAATGAACACTTTCATAGAATTGGATGCAAATTTCTCATTTTTAAAGAGCCGCAAAATAGGTACTTCATTTAGGGATCATCAACTTTACGATATATTTTTATTATCTTGTTCGCTACTTGTAACTGCGAGGGACACTAGCAAAAACTTAAACTTTTTGGATGATTCTAAACGAGGGTATAGTTTTATTATACATATATAATATTTTTGAATATTTGCTATATTTAAATGTTATAGGCTTATATCGCATGTGCTTCGTTTAACAAAGAATTGTTTAAGTTTTGATTTCATTGGTAGCTCAACAGATGAATCCTCCGATGATATGAATAGTGTACAAGTAAGTGAATATTTCATTAATTCTTTTAGCTTATATTGGATTAAGAAAAAATACTAAGAATATAATTTTTATTATTATATTATAATTGCGTTAATTGTTTTCTTTATGCTTTGATTATTTCAGATACCAACATCATGGCGTCCAGCATTCCTTGATCCAAACACATTAAAATTATTTTTTGATTTGTATCAGATATTATCAAATGGTTTAGCGCAATATTCTCTACAATGTTTGGTGCAAGTAATAAATTGTGAAATTTATTGTATATTATTTCTTTAACTTGTTTCTTTTTTCAGATGACATCAGTACGTAGGTCGCTTTTTAATAATTCCGAACGCACAAAATTTTTAACTAATTTAGTGGAAGGAGTCAAAAACATTCTCGTCAATTTACATGTATGTTTTCAAATTAAAGAAATAGAAACACTGAACATATTTTCTATTTTAAAAAAAAAAAAAACTATGAATTCATCATAACAATAGTGTGTAAATGTTTCTAGTAGTGTTTTAAGTTGTTTGAGTATTATAAAAACATGCTGTTTTTATGAAAACAAGTAATTAATTGCATAAGCTATTGCGATATACATTGCTTTGGTATGTACCCTATTTCGCAAGACGCTTTAAAACAACTTCCAGTCTTGAAAAAGTGAACAGTACGTACTGTAACCGGCACAATGTAAAATGGTCCTAGTTAAAGAAAATTACTAGCTCTTGTTAAAATCATTTCTTTGCCAAATAGCATCACAATTCGTGAAGTTCTTTCACTTTGTTTTCTATGTCGATACCTTCTATACCGGAAACAACATTATTTGAAGCGATTATTATTAATGGCTTTCTGTACTTCATACCAAGCCAGCATTTTCTTCTCGAAAGTTTGTTCAAGAAAAGAGATTCATCAACAATGATTACCCTATACCAATTGAGGTTTGGACATAGTCATATCCTACGTGAATATAGAAACAGTCACTTGTCATAAATAAATATATTTGTCATCAATGTGTTGCTCGAACAAAAAATTATTCAAATTCTTGAACAACTCAATTAACATTTAAATATGTAATTTCTAGTATTACCAATACTTTTTTGGAATTCATAGTTTTTTTTATCATTTGTAGTATTAATTAAAGTAAATAATAAATAAATTGTTCTTTTTAGGGTTTGAGCGATGCGGACAACTATCACGAATTTTGTAGACTCTTGGCGCGTTTAAAATCAAATTATCAACTGGGTGAATTAATAGCTGTACCTTGCTATCCCGAGGCAATAGAACTTATAGCAAAATTTACAGTAGAATCTTTACGGGTAAGAAAGAAAATTTTTTCTCATATTTATTTTCAAAATATAAAATGTGTAATTAATTTATAGATGTGGCAATTTGCACCCAACAGTGTACATTATTTACTGACACTATGGCAACGTATGGTGGCATCAGTGCCGTATGTTAAATCTCCTGAACCACATTTATTGGGCACATATACACCGGAAGTAACAAAGGCCTATATTGAGTCCCGTCTAGAATCGGTACCAGTAACGGTGCGTGATAATTTGGAAGATCCTTTAGATGATCTTTGTATGGTGCAGCAACAGCTAGAGCAACTGTCTGTGATTGAACGTTGTGAATATGATAAAACATGTGCTCTTCTGGTACAACATTTTGATCAAAAAGCGCGTGAATATGAAAATTTATTACAAACACCAAATGCTAATCCCATGGATATTACTATACATGAACTGCAGTTAACTTGGCTGGTATATATAATAGGTTCAGCTATTGTTGGACGTTTGGCTGTTAACTCCAATGATGAACATGATACAATGGATGGTGAATTAGTGATAAGAGTAATCCTTTAAACAAGTTTATAATGAAATCTACATTAACAACATGCATAAATTTTCTGTTTGCTGTTTTAAGGTTTTACAATTAATGAGTCTAACAGATGCTCGTCTGCCTCAAGCAGGTTGTGAGAAATTGGAACTAGCGGTATTGAGCTTTCTGGAGCAAGTGCGAAAAATGCACATCAGCGAACAAACGCAAAAAGTAAATGTTTATAAGAGACTGAGTGAGGTTTTTGGAGTAAACGATGAACAAATGCTGTTAAGTTTTATCAATCGAAAAATGTATGTTTTATTTATTTGTTCATAACAAACATTTTTAATTAATGTATTCATATAAAAATTTACAATTTAGTATTACTAATTTAAAATACTGGGGCCATTCGGAATCGATCATTACAAAAACACTCATGTTATTATCTGATCTCTCTTTACATTTTAATTCGGTGCGTAAATTGGCAAAGTTAGAGGAAGTGCAATTTATGCTAACACATCACACTGTAAGTAAACTGATTGTATATGAAATTCTTAAATCTATATTTATAATTATTTAATTTAATACAGAGTGAACATTTTCCATTTTTGGGTACAAATTCATCACTAACTGAAATGCGTTGTCGTACAATGTTCTACACATCTTTGGGTCGTTTACTGATGTTCGATTTGGGAGAGGATGAAGAAAGATTTTATAATTTTTTAACGCCGCTTACAAGTATATTTTATTTTTATCTTTTATATGCATTTTCATAATATTTTATTACAATTCTTAAAGATCAATTTGAATCGCTCGGCAGTGTCCTAATGGATGCAAACAGTTTCCCAAATGAGGAGGCTAAAAAAGCAATTATAGGCTTAGCTCGTGATTTACGTGGATTAGCTCAACCGTTAAACGCAAGAGTACCATATACCATGTTATTTGAATGGCTGTGAGTAACTAAGCTGAAGACAACGATTGCACTTTCTTTTTAACATATTTTGTATTATAGGTATTATGCGGACTATTTACCCATTTTAATACGAGCAGTTGAGCTGTGGGCACATGATCCTGCTGTGACTACACCTGTACTGAAACTTTTCGCCGAATTAGTGCACTGTCGCACGCAGCGATTACAAGGAAATGTTTCCAGTCCAATTGGCATACTTTTGTTTCGGGAAGCTTCGAAATTGATTTGCATTTATGGCAATCGTATATTACACTTAGATGTACCACATGATCAGCAGTATCCAATGCGACTCAAGGGTATATCCGTTTGTTTTCTGATTTTAAAGAATGCCTTAGGTGGAAATTATGTTAATTTTGGTGTCTTCAAATTATATGGGGATGATACGTTGGATAACGTGCTCAATATTACAGCTAAATTAATATTATCAATACAGTTAAATGATTTATTGGTAAGCGAAGTGTAATAAAATAATAATTAGAATAAAATTTATTCACTAATTGCAGGAATATCCAAAATTATCAGCGACATATTATGGCTTACTTAATTGCTTATCACAGGATCATATAACATTCATAGCTGGTTTAGAACCGCGTGCATTTGTTTATATATTGGAGAGTTTGGCCAAAGGTTTAACTGCCATAGGTGATTTTTTTGTTTTCATATGCTTTATATATGGTTTCTATTTCAATAATTTAATTTTTGCGTTTTGCATTTTGCTATTCTACGAATACAATATTATATATATTTGACTAATTGAGTATTTTTTAGATTCATCTGTTTATATAAATTGTTGTACTATATTGGATAATATTGTGTCATACATATTTAAGCAATTACAATTAAAAGGTAAATAAATGTTTATTAAAAAACTCGTATTTAAATATAACCTTATTAACACATAACTATTTCTTAGTTTCGACATTCCCAAATAAAAAGCTACGCAACATAACACCCGAAAACGCACAGTTCCTGGAGGTGATTTAGCATTTTTTTTTTAATAAAAAATACATAATTTAAATATATATTTCTTTATTTAAATAAATATATTAATTTTTTATTTAAATAAATACATTAATTATTTTATTTAAATAAATATATTGACTTTTTTATTTAAATAAATATTTAATATTTTTTAATTATATAAATATGTATATAATATGTTTTAAATAAATATATATTTTTTTTGTTTTCAAATGCTTACTAACATTTTATTGTTTATTTAATTTAAGGTTGTTAAAATGAATTCTGAATTACTACAGTCAATGATGTCAACTTTGTTAAATAATATTATGGCAGAGGATTGCAGAAATCAGTGGTCTATGTCACGTCCATTGTTAGTGCTAATACTTCTATACGAGGATTACTTTCAGTTAGTTGAAACTATATTATTTTTTCGATAAAGCAATGTCTTATTTTTGTAATTTTGTATTAGATCTCTAAAGGATAATATAATACGTGTACAACCGTTAGATAAACAACAGACAATGGCACAGTGGTTCTCTGATTTAATGATGGGCATTGAACGAAATGTGACTAGTAAAAATAAAGAGAAGTATGAATCCACTTAATATAATATATTATCAAAATAAGAAATTCATTTATATATTTTTTAATTTTCTTTAAGATTTTCACAAAATCTGTCATCGTTCCGTCGAGATGTTGTTAACTTGCCAAAATCATCAAGCTACAATACGGGTTCGTCCTTTTTAGATGATATAATATGAATTTTACATTATTGTTTTATTTTTGTTTAAGAAATAATATTTAAATTGCAATTGTATTTGTGTATTTATTTTAAGTTTATTTATATTATAAATTAAATTTATATCGGAAATGAAGAAAAAGTTTTTAAAGCTTAAGGTATTACCTGGTTTTGCGCATAAGTTGTTTGATTATCAGAATTTAATATATTAAATGATTTCCATTATTTAAGTTTACATTAAATTCACACAATATTTAATATATTTAAAAAAGCATGAAAAGAACTACTACAATTTTTTTAATTTAAGAAACTTTATTTTATAGTGGTTTAATTTATTTGCTTTTTGTATTTCTTGTATGTGTACTAACTTATTTCAAAATTTTTGATTTTAAGTTCATTAAGCATAAAATCTCACTTAAGGTGGCAATAAAGAAACTTTTTGTTATGATATTTCACTCTTTTCAGTTAACTCTTATCAGGTTTATTCTGAAACAAATTATTCAGTGTCGGTTTAATTGGTCTGGATTGTTGGTGGATATGGCGTGAAGAATTTAAACAAGAACTTTTTTATAGTGATGTGAAGAATGAGGGTTCATATATGGAAAATCTAAGTTATGTTAATAAATAAACATACTACTTATTTTGTACGTATGAAGTATACAATTATTTTGTTTGTATGTGCAAATAAATGTCAAAAAATGTCTACATATGATTTTTAAATCAGACTTCTGTTACAGAGTGAATCAATCTTTAAACTTAACGGCAGTGCCAGCTGTTAGTAAAATTCAGCACGGTTGCATTTTAAGTTTTTTTTTTGTGTCAATATTTAGTTTGCGGTTTATTTTTTAAAAATAGATAAAAAATAAGTTAAGGAACTTTTCGATATTTAACCACACCACTTTTAATTTTTGACAATTCTGGTATGATGTATAGGTGAGGTAGATTTTGTTGCAATAGTAAAGAAAGCGGTACAATTATTTAAAACTTCTTAAATGATTTACTTATGGATAATATGAAGTTCATATTAATTATGTAGAAAAAGTAACAGTTCAGAAGTATGGATCAAAACTACAATAACCAATAATACTTACATGACGAACAAATTTCTTTTTTTGGTTCCCGACAAATTGAAAATATACATCTGATTTTTTAAAGAAACAATATGATACATACTATAAACATTATCTGTCGATTTTATAGGCGAAACATATGTCTCAATACTGACTTAAGTCAATCTTAAGTCATCAACTTTGCTAACTTAATTTACATATAAGCCAGTTTTGAGACGTAAGTTATGTCCCGCAAATCTGTGCTAGAAAACAATGAATCTCTCACTGTTATTGACATAAAATTGCTTTTAATAAAAAGTCAATAAATCAATAAATGTCAATAAACATTTATTATGTGGGTTATTTGAGCGTGTGCTTGTGTTTATATGTAGTTGATTACATGGTACACAATTTTTTTAAACATAAAATATTTAATATTCGTTTTTTAAAGTCTTATTCAGAACTATAGTCCGTTGTGACATGAATTGAATGATGCAACTGTAATTGAAGCGTCATGCGGAAAAACGATATCTCAAAATAAAATGTACTTAATAAGATTATAAATTTTTATCAAAATAGCTTATTTATAAACAAGCACACAGTCAAATTGAATGAGTGCAAAATATTAAACTGCTTGCAGTTGGATTTTATAATTAATCACATAAGTTTCATTATTTTGTTAATTACTTTATATAACGTTTAATTAAACTATTTAACAGTATATTTACACTCGCAATTAACTCGACATTTTTAATTATTTTTCATACAAAATCTGCATGAAACTATTGTATTTTGCTGCAAATTTATCGACTTAATTGCGATTGTATAAATTGTTGTTATATGGCTTAATTAAATGTTGTGTTAAATAATTATATAAATAAAAAACTTATGTGATTAATTAAAAAATTACCTTTAATGTTATAAACAGTCACGACCTTAACTGTTTACATCCATCCAAAATTTGTTCGTTATATTCTATAATCGTACTTATTTGATTTGATCTGGCAGTGTCGCTGGAAATATGATATTATATTTCACTTGCTTTAGCACATGCCGTTATATTGGTGCTGTCAGAATATAGCTCAATTAATCATATCACATTTTCTTTATGCTAGAGTAAGATAACAAAAGTATCTATAAAAAATACTCAATAAAATTTTATTTCTTGCTTACTAGGTGTTGGCCTGCCAAGAGTATAGCAATTTCATAGAATTGTTGGTCGTGTGAAAAGTGTGAAATTATAATAAAATTCGCAGAAAAAAAAATATTATTTGTCATGATTTGAATGCAAAATATTTATTAATAATATTGAAAATAATAATATAAATGTGTAATCTGTAAGGTGTTGTTCAAATTTATAAAGAAAATATCGAAGGTGATTGTTAAATGTGAATTAAATAAAAAGTGTAAGCAAATTTTTGAAATTAAAAAAATACATATATATTTTCACAGTGAATGAGAAAAAATATGTTGCTCTGCAGCAGCAGCGGCAGAAGCAGCGCAGCAGGCGAAATATTAATATCTAAAATTGATTTTTCCTTTTTCTCTCCTTCTCTTTTCCATGTACGCTTCTTAACATAAAACGTTTGGTGCAACTGTAACAACTATATATCTGTGCTATATTTTTTTTATTTCGTTATATTCTCACTCGTTCTCCATTGGTGGTGCAAATTGCAATTTTGGTGTACCAAAAAAGCAAAGTGAAGGAAAGCAGCGAAGAAAATTTTCCTCCTGCGGTTGAAAAGTGTATGGAAAATTTGGAATATAATCATATTTGTTGCATATAAAACATAATTTTATTATAATAGATAGAAAAAGTGATTAGCGAATTGCTGCAAACCGCACAAGCAACAAATTTCGAAAAAAAATAATAATTAAAGCACACGAAACGGAATTGAAAATTGGAAACAGCAGATTACACATATACATACCGAGTCAGCAAGCGATCAAACGAAGACGTCGGGTGTTAAAAGTAAATTAAGCAGGAGTAGCGGTTACAAAGCACAAAATTGATAGAAAAAAAAAAGATTGAAAAAGATTGTTGTGAAAAGCACAAAATAAGTTTATTTATAATACTAACGGAAGCACATAAAAGTAACTAAATAGCACAAACCGCACCCTCATCTCACCCCTTTTCACAGACACCAGCAACACCGCCGATTCACAATGAATGAACTCGACAGTCTGAGGCAGGAAGCTGAGTCCCTTAAAAATGCCATACGTGATGCCCGTAAGGCTGCCTGCGATACAAGTTTAGTCCAGGCCGCCGCCTCATTGGAACCAATTGGCCGTATACAGATGCGCACGCGCCGAACACTACGCGGTCATTTGGCTAAAATCTATGCAATGCATTGGGGCAATGATTCACGAAATCTTGTATCTGCTTCCCAAGATGGTAAGTTAATCGTATGGGACTCTCACACCACTAATAAGGTGCATGCAATCCCATTACGTTCGTCGTGGGTTATGACGTGCGCGTATGCACCATCAGGTAGTTACGTTGCCTGCGGTGGTCTCGACAACATGTGTTCAATCTACAACCTAAAAACGCGAGAAGGCAATGTGCGCGTCTCGCGTGAATTGCCAGGACACGGTGGCTATTTGTCATGCTGCCGTTTCTTAGACGACAATCAGATCGTCACTAGTTCAGGCGATATGTCGTGCGGTCTGTGGGATATTGAAACAGGCCAACAGGTCACTTCGTTCCTGGGTCATACAGGTGATGTCATGGCACTTTCGTTAGCGCCACAATGTAAAACGTTCGTATCTGGCGCTTGTGATGCATCAGCCAAATTATGGGATATACGCGAAGGTGTTTGTAAACAGACTTTCCCCGGACACGAATCCGATATTAATGCCGTGACATTCTTCCCCAATGGTCAAGCGTTTGCAACTGGTTCCGATGACGCCACATGCCGTCTCTTCGATATACGCGCCGACCAAGAGCTTGCCATGTACTCACACGACAACATTATCTGCGGCATAACTTCAGTAGCATTTTCAAAGAGCGGTCGTCTGCTATTAGCTGGCTATGATGATTTCAATTGCAATGTGTGGGATACAATGAAGGCCGAACGTTCAGGTATATTAGCCGGACACGATAACCGGGTTTCATGTTTAGGTGTTACCGAAAACGGCATGGCCGTAGCAACGGGTTCATGGGACTCATTCCTACGTGTGTGGAATTAAGCGACTGCACAACAGGCGGTAAACGATGCGGATGTAGACATGGACGTTAGGCGCAACATAAAACGACTACGACCAAATGGCTACATAGCCACATCTATAATCCTCCTCAACTGCAGCGGTATATTTAGATTTAAACACGAATTACACACACACACATACAAACACACACACGCAAACACACACATACACATATAAGTACATAAATTTATATACCAACTTAAACAAATTATTTATATAATATACACATTTAAAGTATATAAGTTTAAAGTATAAAAAAGGGTGTTGCTATAAAAATACGCAAGTTTAAACAAAGATAAGAGTTAAAAATAAGAAGAAGCATTTACAAAACCACAGCAAGAAATTTAAATCTAAAATCAGTAAATTAAAATCAATACACAAACAAAAATTTCTTATTACTTTTAAGTCTTTAATTTATATACAAACAAAACAAAACTAAGAAAAAAAAATGTAAAAACCAAAAACCACAAAAAAAAATATATATAATAATTAAACAAAAATTTTATATATGGCCATATAAACTATGCAAAAAATTTATCTTAAAACTTAAAACGTGAAGTAAAAATTATATATTAACTATATAAGTTAGAACAAAAGTGTATAAGAACAAGAAACAACTGAAAAACTAACTATAAAAGTGTAAACCAAAAAGCTAAAGCTAAAGCTAAAGTAACGTAAAGTAAAGTAGTTATATAAAATTCGAGTTCAACACAACTTCAAACAACAACAACAACAAAAACAACTACAAGAATAATATAGAATGAAGTCAGTCACTTAACATGCATAAATCAGTCATATATAAGTCATTATATATATATATACATATATGTATATACATGCATATGTGTACATAGTCTGTCTGTCTGTTCAAAGGAACGATCGTGTGGTCCGGTCCTGGTGTCAAGTGAAGAATAGGACTAATTTTTAGCTTAATTTAAGCTTGCTGTGATTTGTAAATGTGTTGACATTTTTTTTTCAACAGAATGGCTTAATATTGACTAAAAATTTGTAATATTAAATAAAACAAGCAAAAACATAAAATAATAAATTAACAACAACAACAAGAAGAAAAAGAAAAAGAAGAAATTTAGCAATAAGTGCAACAATCAACAAGAAACAAACAAAAACAAAGAATTTCTCTCTCTCTAAATTATCAAGAACCTAAACTTATGCGAACCACGATCATTTTTTTGTATAAAAAATTTTATTTCCTTTTTCGATTGTATTTTTTTGTTTCTAATATTTTAAAAGCTGATAAGTTTGTTGTTTTTTGTTTTTGCTTATGCCTTTAAATATTATTATATACAGAAATATAATTGTTAAAACAAAAAAAAAAACAAAAAAAAACCAAAATAAGAAAATCATATATGTTTGTTTGTTTGATGTTTTGTTGTGTAAAAATAATTCCAAAATTCATGTATTTTGTGTCTTATTTATTGTGAAATCATGTATAAAATGATTTATTATAGATTTTATAGTTCAAGTCAAGTCAATAAATAATTTTGTATGTTTAATATTACTAACCCTTCAACAACCAAACAACCATCTCTTACCTTACTCTTTTCTCAACATTTGTAAAAGTCAAACAAAAAAACATAAAAACCTTAATTTTTTTTCTCCTTCCCTATTCTATTCTCTCCTCCTACTCTCCTACCCCTTCCACTCAGCTGCGAAGAGCTCAATACTTTGCAATTGAATCTAATTATAAAATTAATAAAAAAAATATACAAAACAAATTAATAATTTTTATATGTTAATTTACTCTTACTATTTACTACGATTTACGATTTATTATATATATTCTAATTATTACATATACACGTATACATTTTTTTTATTGTACTCAATTGAGCTTTAACTTTTGATATCATCAATAATAATAATAATAACAACAAGAACAAAAACAACAACCACAAAAAACTACTTAAAGCCACTAAAAGCAGAAACTTATTCCAATGTGAAGCGCTGACGCTGAAGAAGATCTGTCATATGTGGTGGGTGCTATGAGTAACAAAAAGTTAAAAACGTTTGTGTAGATACAGATAATAAGCCAACACTAAATAATTAGAGTTTGAAGTTATATATTCAAAACTACATATTTGGAAGAAATATATTAATATGAAGGTTCGCCCCAACATAATAAGTTATTTGGGCCTGCCATTATGTTACAAATAAAACAATAAAAGGTTTATAAATGTGGAGAAAGAAATCCATTAATTTCTTACTATACTTAATGTAATGTATGTATATCTAGAACATGCCAAAAAGCTACTACTAACATAAATTGTTGGTAAATTTATATTAAGAAAATGTTTACCTATCAAAAAGGATGAGTTCACCTGTACGTCACTAGAAATTTAATTGTGGGAAAATTAATGTAACAATAAAATCATTTACTTTCAAAAAGGATAGAAGTCCTATAAGGGCCAAAATTTCTTTCAATGGAATAATTAATATTTTTAAGAAATTGTGTGCTAGCTAGCATAAATCATCTTTCAGTTGCAGATTAAGTGCGTCTTTAGTACCTAACGTACGTACTTTGCATAGCTTGGCATTATTGCTATTTTAAGCTATTTTAGAGCAAAATAAACTGGAAACGAATTTCAGAATAAAATTGTTGGAGAAAAAAATTCTTACATTTTTTCTACTTAGATAAGTAAAATTTAAATAAATTTAAAAATCTCTTATCACTCGCCAATGAACACCAAATGTTCTCTTGTAATCTTATAATGATTAAGTTGAGTCATTTAATAGAATAAGAAAAAAAATGAAATTTCTTAGAACTTCAAGGGGGGAATTTTTAAATAAATAAATGAATTTATACTTCAAAAATTTCAATTGGCTTCACCAATCTGAAAACAATAAAAAACAGGAAATAGTTGCAAAAATTTATTAAAATAATTAAATTAAATGAGAATTTAATAAAATGACTTACAATTTTAAATTATCGAGCATTATAACTCTCTTTAAACCAAAACTCTGTTTACATATATTAGGATAGATCTATCTATTGGAATAAGTCTGCAATACGACCATTTTGCTAATATCGAAAAACGAAAAGAAAATTTTTAACACTATATAAAAACATATATAAAATAACTACGAAAAGTTAAGAAACAAAAGAAGAAAAAAACCAATTATTTGCATTTAGTCTATTATTTGCATTATTATTAAAGTAAACAATGCATACGTATTATAATAATAAATATAAAAAAAGAAAACAAATATATTTGTAATTATTGTTAGTCTAAACTAAAAACAAAAAATGAATAATTTTATGTTTAATTTGTTCCTTTTTAGTTTATTAGTTTGTTTCTCATTATTGTTATTATTATAATTATTATTTTAATTTGTTTAAATATTGAGTTAAATGTCCTGTTTTACTTATTTGTTTACAATAAACATGATTTTAGCGCTAGGAATAATTTTGTTTTTCTCCTCTTCCCTTCCACTTCAGCAAACTATACTTTATAATTTACTTAGGAACATAGCCTACAACAAAGAGACACTACAGCCATAGCAGCAAAAAAACAACTAATTAAATTTGAAAATTTATTAATTAACAACAACAACAGCATATTAGCAACAAAATAAATTTATATATTAATTCAATAATTCAATATAAAAAAAAATTTTAAAAAGAAATTATATAGCATAAAATCGTTTAAAATACATGCATTAAATACAAATTAAAAGAAAATTAAATTAAATAAAAAATGAAAGAGTAAGAAATTTCAAAAAACATCTCAAAACTCATTTGAATTTGTAATTATAATTAAATATAATAATAAAATTTTAATAATAAAAAATACATTTGCTTAGTTAGTGTAAAGAAAACAACAAAAATGAATTTTTTTTTCATACAATTTAATAGTTTTTTATATTTGCAGCAGAAGTTAGTGTCAATATAAGGGACTTGCAGTCTTATTTATTTTAAATTAACAAGAGAATAACAAGAACTTAGTTGAAATATGAAATTTTAATATATATTAAAAGAGAAATATTTTGTATTAAGCTTTCAAAAATATTTTTTTTAATAGAATGTCTTTGAATTAATTTGGTAGTTGCTGTTATTTTAAAGATAAAAATATTGAGCCATATTGCAAATTAAAAGAAGAGTATAATAAGTAATTTCTTTTAAAATAAATCAAAGTATATAAAAAATTTTATAATAATAAATTGTTAACAGCGGCACATACGAAACTTAACAGATATATTGCACAGATAATGAATTTTAAAGCTATGTAAACATAACTTTAATTCTATAACTTTTTTGATTTAGTATGCAAACCATAATTAATAAAAGATGAAGGACATGACATAAATTATAAGTATAAAAAGATTATTTTATAGACTTCGCTTTGCAAAATTTAGTAAAAATTGTTCTATATATTAACAAAATATCTGGAATACAAATTTGTTCCAACATGTCAGTAAGGCTAGCGCAATATCTCATTACATTTTATTAAAGGATTTAATTTTGTGATTATAATTAAATAAAAGTAATTAAAGAAGTATATTGACTAATATCTAACAAGAAAACAATTTTGAACTTTTTGAACTTTACTAATTTAGTAAACAATTTAAATTTCAATAAAAAATTGCAATTAATATTGTCATTGGCTGCAGAAAAACATTCTCTTTTTTATAACAATTTTTTTTATAACAATAATAATTAATGCAATTTAGGTTCACATTTTTTTCTTTTAATAAACTAATAAATGTACTTAAACATGCATTAAGAAAAAGATTTTATTTCTTTATTTAAAATTTTCGTTAAATTCTTAAATTTACCACGACCTGTGGTGAATATTTCCCTGCATGGTAGAATAACTGTTAGTTATTCTGTTAGTTATTCGCGCAGTTACTGTCTATTATACTCGCATGTATAATTAAAACTAATTAATAATAATAAAGTTTAACTTCTTTAAACGTTCAGAAAACACAATTCTGTTGTCCAGTGAGTTCCACGTTTTAATCATAACTCATGCTGCAAATATGAGAAACTTTTTTTGCATTAATTCTCTATGTTTAACACGACTTACACAAATCAAAATTTAGTTAAATTAATAACAATTGAAGTCAGTTGTTCCAATGGTAGGTATTCAGCTAGCAGCTCAAGAAATAGAGCAGTAGTAAACAGTCAAGTGCTAAAAAAAAAATTGGGTCATATATGAAAAATAATTAATTTGAATTCAAAATTTTAAGACAAAAATTTTAACAAAATCTGCTGTAAATCGCGTTTAGAAAAAAATTTTTAGGTTTAATATAATTTATACATAAAAAATTAATTAAAAATAAAAATCAAAATACTTAGTAAATAAATAATTAAAAGAAAAGAAAACAAATATATATATAATACAAATATATATATATATATACGATTCGCATAAATATAAATAAGGAACCATATGTGTAAAATGGACCATAAATCCAAGAACAAATTGAATAAAAATTAAATAATTTCATAAATTTAATATAAAATATAAATTAAAACCCATACTTTTCTATATCTACAAACACGCTCATAAAACACACAGACACATATAAACAGACACAATTCATATTATTCAATAAAATTAATAATTAAAATGTATACATACATATATTTAAAATAAATATATATACACAGTTTTGACAAACAAAAAAAAAAATAATTTTAAAATAAATTAGAATACATTAAAAATAAAAATAAAAACCATTTAAAACTTATACAAAAATTGTAATTTAAAAATGAATGCATCAGTACTAAACATAAATAAAAAATTAAGTAAATGAATATTAAATTTTTTGTATTTGAATACCGCAAAGTCAAAGTGACATTATAGACCACCACTTCATCACCCTCCTCACAATCCAAAAAAAAAAACAAAAAACATTTTAATCACAAGCATTTTACCAACACATCAGGTGCACATATAATAGTGTATATGATAAAAAAACATTAAAAAAAAACAAATTAAAATATATTAAAAAGAAAGAGAAAGAAACAAAATATATAAAAGCGGTGTTAATAAATTATTTCTAAACTTTTCTATTTATAAATAATATTAAAAATAATTTACAAATATTTATAATTACAAAGAAAAATAAATAAAAATAATGAAAAAGAGAAAAACTGCTGAAAACTTTATAATAGTAAATTAAAAAAAAATATATATGTATTAAATGACTTAATTTGATATAAAGAAATTTGACTTAAAAAATAATTAAGCATAAATGAAAAAAAATATATATTAAAATAAAATAAATTGAAAACAAATATTTGAGCATATATACATATAGAAAAAAAGAAGAAATTAAGCCAAGAGAAATCGGAGATAGCAGCTACATACACATGTAATAAACACAAAAACTAAACTTTATTTTATATATATAATTTAGCACAATTTTTTAAAAATTAAATTTTGAAACTAAAATTTTTTTAAAAACAGCTTTGCTCTATCAAAACATAATAATATTACAAAAAAAGCGGTTAAAATTTGCATTTAAAATATATTTTGTACGAAAAGCACATGAAAAAAAATGAGCATAAACGCGGTTGAAAGCAATGGTAAAGATGCGACAGAAACACAACACAGGAGTGTAGAGTTTACTACAAAGCAAGAGAAACTGCCGTGTTGAAATAGAAAATTGGCCAAATATGTTGATAAGGAACGAATGTTGTTAAACTTAGTTTCGTGTTTCAAAGGTATAAATGAAGTGATCGTAGTTTGTTACGAAGCTGTGTTACGAGAGTATAATAAATAAAAATAGTAAAATTCAATCATTTCAACTATTCCGGGTACCACTAAGGCAGCTTTTATTTGTTATATCATTTTAAGTCTGCTTTAATTTTGTGTGGGGCATAATGTTGCTGATCAAATATCATATACTCTATATGGAAAATATACGATATTAAGTGTAAAGCAACATGTATACAGAAATTGAAGAATGATTGAAAATATTGTTAATAGTAATTCAAAGTGTAATGATTTATAATTAATCAAACACGAACAAATATAAGTAATTTCAAGATAAAATATTATATATTACAATATATTATAAAATATTATATATTTGATAGTTATATGATAACTATCAAATTTTTTAGTAACTAATACCACAAATCTTAGGAACGCACCCAAAATATTGGATAGTACCGAAAATTAACAATATTTAGATTGAAAAATTTGAATTGTTGTCAATCAGCTCTTTAACTTTGCTTAACGTTAAATTACAGTAATAGAGGATTAGAGAAGAAATTGTACGAACTTGAGAAACATTGCCCAAACCGCAATTAACACTTAAGAATTTATGCTCATCTCATAAGATACAATTAATTGTGTAAGTTAAGGTTACTTTCTTCGGAAATAAAAAAAGATGTACTGAAAAGATCTGATTCGATGTAAAATGTATTTTTTCCGCTGAATAAGTAAAATTTATTGCCGCTTTTTTGCATAATAATTTTCTTTATTTTTTTCTCTACAAACAAAAACAAATTTATTAATAATTCACTAAGGTATGAGCAACAACTACAACTCCATAAAAACAAAAAACAAATAATTTTATTAGTAAATTAAAAAAAGAAATGCAACAGAACTAAACATTTAATAATTCTACATAAACTGTTTTCGTCTTTTTGTTTTTAGGAGAAAAAATTTTACAATATTTCCTAAAAAGAATACATAAATAAGAAATAAATATGAAATGAAAAACTTTGTAAGTGGTTAGATGCAGTTGAATACAGTATGTTGTAATAATAAATAAATAAAATTTAATAAATAAATCAATAAAAATTTAAACAGATTGTTTATTATTTATACTTTATTTAGAAAGCATTATAATATAAAAATGTTTGAGGTTATTAACTAGTGATTGGAAATTGCTAGTTAAGAAGATCGTACAAATATTTTTACGGTCTTTAATCGCAATTGTTTCAAACAAGATCGTAAAAACATAAAGATGTTGAGTTGCATGGAGTTTTATTGCTTTCGTTAATGGAACTTGTGTTGAATTTCAATTGCTCGTATTTATTTACATATACTTTTCTTTTTATTTATTTATCATAGCTATAATAAATATAAAATATTTTAATTTAAAAAATTAATTTATTAGAGAGAGAGATTAGAAAGAATGATGAGCAAAATTTATACAGGATATATAAAGATGAATTTTTTAAAATGAATTTAGATATCGAATTTCTGCCAAGAAACGGTAAAATGTTTTGATGATTGAGAAGTAGGTTGAACCAACTAATGGAGAAAAGTGATAACACTAAAGCGACTAGAATAAATAGAACAGGAATCATGTATGTTAAGTGAAGATATGGGAACCATGTAATAGCTACAGATTTATTAAAATCGACCTAGTCTATCTATATCTAGCCTGCTGATATAGATTTAGAAAGTATTTATATATGGCTATGGCCATATGTCTATGGCTTGACAACATATCCGTTTTGTATACTTTATCTAAGATGTGTCTTAGTCGAACAATCATTGCTGATATTGTGCTACAATTATTATATACCTACTAATGGAATAAATTAAATTAGTGATTCTATGTCTTAAAAAGCGAAAACTATTCTAGTACTTATTTGCAATATCAATCGAGATTATAAGATATATAAATGAGTTTGCAAACGAAGCAACCTTATGATTGTTTAAGAAAAAAATAAAAATATTTAATATTATTTAGCACCTTGGAGTTTTTTCAAAAATCCAGTATTTGCTTTTCTTCCCCTTATAGGGAAAAAGTAATTCATGATAGGTAAAAACTTGTAATTAATGGTACTGAGATTAAAAGGAATTGATGTTAGTACTGAAGGCTCAGTTTTATATTGCAGTATTGAAAAAATAAATAAAGAAGTCAATAGCTTACATTCAATTACATTAAATTTTTGATAAATAAGCATTGTTGTTAAAAATTTTAATAGATTATAAATTAAAAAAATTAAAACACAAATATATACATGTTAAATTTTCGACTTTACTGTTTCGATGCATCGTCGCTTTTTGGTGCATTATCTTGTTTTTCTGTTGCATCCGTTTTCTCTGTGACTTCTTTTTCCACTTTTTGTCCATCTTTAGCAACACTTTCATCAGAACTCTTTGCTTCACTTTCACTTTTATCTTCCTTCTCACTTTTATTTTCTTTTTCATTTTTATCTTCTTTTTCACTCTCTTCTTCTGGTTTCGGGTCTCCATCCACTTTCTCATCCACTTTTTCATTTTCGCTCTGATTTTTATCCTCAGATTCACTGTCTGCAACAGTTTCATCATCAGCATTCAACTGGTCTTCCTCACCATCTAATTTGTGTATATCAACCAAATGAAAATTTGGCTTTGTAGCCGGTCTTTGTTCCTGTATGCTCTTGTAAAACTCATTGAACACAAAATTTTGATAGCGTTCTGCAATGTCATTGCAAACCAGTGACTGATGCGGATTTTCTTTGTTGCATTTAATGAGCTCAGCACGCATTTCATCAATTTGATTTCTAACTTTTCCAGCCCAGAACATTGGTTTATTAATTTTTTCTTCCAACTTCTTATAGGTCTCACGGAATTGTATCTCTTCCAAATCAGACATTTTCTCATAAAGTGAACTTCTTGATCTCCTTCGAAGTGGTTCTGTACGCCTCAATCTTTCTTCTTTCTTGTCATCGTTCAAGTCAGTTATACGATGAATAACTTCTTCTGTCAGTTGCATAGGTGGTGGAGGTGGATTTGGGTTTTCTACAGTGATAGTTTCTGGAATACTTGAACTGGCTCCCATGTTACTTAAGAATTTTTTATTTTCCAAATGTACGGTGAAACATTTTATGAGAGTAATTTTTATTTATATTTTTTTATGTTATATGTCAATTATATAAATTTTAAATAAAAGTAGAGAACTAGATTTATTGACGAAATTAAAATTGAATCAAACAAATTTATGTGTAGTTTCTACGACGTCCTTTTGTACGGTGTTGGACTCGTTTGTTTCTGCAGAGAATATGAGTCCATTCGAGCTCATCAGTTTTACATTTTTCTTGGTTACAACTATATACTGGTATTCAGTTAAATCATTTTTATTATATATACATTATATATTTAATTATATATGAGTTAAAATTTAGCCTAGTTTTTTATATATTTGTAAGAAGTTATTCTGGACATTAACAAAAAACATTACGAACGAATATTAACTCACTCAAACAGCGATATATATAGACTTCCCCAGCAGATAAAAAACCTCTCCATTAGATAAAAAACCGCGCCTTAAAAGTTTACGACCGGTCGTAAACTAAGTCTATTTTTTCTCCTCTCTCCCCTGATTGCAGGAATGAAGTTTTAAAAATGCTGTGGAAATTTTCTCCATTCATTCCTAAGAGGTGGTTGAGTGGGTTCAACTGTTTTTTACTGTCAAAAAAAAAAAAAACGACCGGCCGACAGAACCCAAACCAACAAACCCTTTAAATAAAAAAGCACAGCAGAGAAAACGAAAATAATTAGGTGTTGATCCTAATTATTCTACGCATCCTAACAAAAGACGTATACAATTTTGGTGAGAAAAAAATTTATATTTATACATATCTAAATATATATATTAAATGAAACAGAAAGAAACAAACATAAGTTTCATACAAAATTATTTAAATGTAAGTTAAAATAAGCATGTAAAAACTCAATTTAATAGATAATACAGAAATACATAATAATAAGTATGGTACATAATAAAAACTATGTTGTCTATATTGTCGGTGCTTGCCGGACATAGTACTGTCATATTGCAACTAAATTTATGATTTTGTTTGTTAAAATACTCAACAATTTTGGTAGTAATATTCGTTGCTCCAATAAGCATTAAAAGCATGCAGCATGTTTGAGTTTGAAGTTGTTAGCACACATTTAACATGTGTGTAATTTTGCAGATAGTTTGATGGAACTTAAGATTTACACATTTTAGCTGTTGATCTGTAATGTAATGTAGTTAGAGTTGTGCATTGTTTTGATGTACAAAGGCATCAATACAATTATTGTTCTAGCAATTGGTTCGATCAAACATGTTGCAATGTCATGCTGTGGTTGTGACTGTGTGTTATTTGTATTTAGCATTGTTAGATTTTGAAACGAAAAGTATCTGTAGTCTTATTTGAACTTTTGCCTTATGTGGAGGTTGCGTCGGATTTAAACGAAATTTTGCGTTTTGCTTAATCAAAACAAAAACGAATTAATTTATAAAAACACAAATTAATATGAATAATTAATTTATGTGCATAAAAATAATAAATTTAGCAAAAAATTTATTGTTTAAAACGGGTTTTAATTTTTATATTTATTTAACTAAAATTGAGCGGCAAAATAAAGCTACGCATACTAATTTGTTTGTGTTAAAAGCTAAAAGTTTATATATTATTTTATATTTAAATTGTAAATACGAGTATATTGGAATATTATACAACTGTGTGCTTATCGGAAATATTTTTTAAAATAATTGTTATATCACAGCTTGTGTTATCAATGGTCAAATGTTGAAAAAAAAGAGTGTGGATGACGACGATAAATAACGAAATTTCACGTGCAAATTCCAAAGAAGTTGGAAGCACGAAAATATAAGAAAATAGTAAGAGTATCTTTGAGATAAAAATACGATATTTTAAGAAATAAGTTTCACTAATCCCTTAAAGATATATTAATTTATTTAAACGAGTATTAATTTTATAATAAATTTGTTGAAAGAATTTACAAAAAGAAGACAAAACAAAAAACATAAACAAAATAGAAAATTATAGTGTGGCGTTATCAAAAGCTATGCGGCGTATTTGCTTTTGCAACAAAGCTGTGCAAAATAAAAAGTAAACAAAAATAATCAAAAAAAAAAAAATAATAAAAAATAAGAAGGAAAGCCAAATAAAAGTAAAGACTGAAAATAGCATCTTTTAGATACAAAAGTATCTGAGCGAGTGTGCAATTTCTGTGCGGCGGCAGCCAAACAAAGCGAAACAAAACAAAACTACCTGTTGCGGCGCTCAGGAAAACGGTGAAGGTTAATTTACCAGCGCCTCTCGACTGCAACTTGTACTCTTTGTGTGCGGTGTAAAGAAGGTGAAGTGGAACAAAACGTATTAAGGCAGTGCCTTTGCCGGTTACACCACAGCCTCAGCGCAGCATCAGCGCAACCTCAGCAAACACTACGGCTGCAGAAGACTTCTTCGGAATTAAATGCAAAATAAGCCCAAAAGCGAACTCGTGTGTGTCAATGCCAGTTCTGTTTTGTGTTCATTTACTTAAATTTGTTGTGAATTCTTTAACGTTAACGTTAACGTCAACGCTAACAGCAGTGCCAATAGCTATAATAATAACAACAACAATAGTAACAACTATACGACCATGATATCTTAAAGATACACCTAAAAAATGTAACTAAACTCAGCTGAACAAAATATAGCAAAATTTGAAAAAAAAAGAAAAAAAATTTCGAAGAGTGTAAAATAAAAAATAGTAAAAAAAATATAAGAAAAAAATTAAATAAATAAAATAAAAAAGAAAATATTTTTGTTGCCTCTACAACGTGTTCACTGACCGGTTTTACACTTTTGCTTTAAAATTCAAATAAAAAATAAATAAATTCTTTCAAATTATTATTATATATTTTTTAATAATATATTGTGTTTTTTAAGTAGTAAAAGATTTATATAAAATTGTGCTACCAAAATTATGCATTCTCTCTTATATTAGACAAAGCAAAAAAAAAAAATCCAAAATGTTAAGTTTACAGTTTGAATCACAAAAAATAAATTATCACATAAGGAACAGTAGAAGTCGAAAGCATATCTTCTCACATCCTTTTTCCTGTCTTCAAATGTTATTACAATCGACTTGGACAACAGCATTAGTGTGCTTACTTCTTTATCTCAGTCAAGGACCGACGTTAATTTCCGGCTTCAATTTGGAGCAACGCTTACCCATCATTAAATATGGACCACATGAAAATACTTATTTTGGATATGCAGTAGCGACGCATACAGTTGGAGAATATAATTGGCCTAATAATACTAAATGGTAAGGGGAAATTCATATCTTATTCAGTAAAAGTTAATTTAAGTTATGATATTGTGATGAGCAGTATATAGAGAGAATAACATATATTAGTGTTATTAATATGTTTAACAGCATTAGAATAAAAAGCGCTATTAAAAATCTTAGCAGTTCTGTTAGTTAGATTTAATATCCATTTATTTTTTTTTAACGATTCTTTTAACTTTGAAAAAATGTCTACACAATAGTTTACTACAATTTTTTTTTGTAAAATTTCTTTCCAGTTTTTCTGATGCTGTTAGCTGACACTTCCTTAAAATATTTCCTCTATTTTTTTAAGCTATTTACTGATACTTTTGTGAGATTAGATTAACTGAAATTATTATTTCGTGTTTTTAGCGCTGCTAACTGTAACTTTTGTAAAATTAATTCTCTTTGTTTAATATCGTTATTATGCACTTTTGTAAATTAACGCTTTGTTTTTTTTAAACTAAAAGGTGCTAATATCTCATTGTGATATGAATCCTCCGTTTATTAAATGTTACCTCCTAAAAGTTAGTACCAAACTCCAGTTTTTATTTTTAAAAGCATTATATCTGCATCAAACATCGTTATATAGTAGTTTAAACACTTATTATGGTAACATTAATTTGTTCACTGAGTATGCTCTTAAGATTCATCACATTCAGAAAAATCTATACTCTTAATCATCACTTAATTTATTCCTCTTAAAGACTAATCATTAGTTTATTTAGGGAAATCTATACTCTTAGTAGTCACTAAAATTTATCTTTTTAAGGACTAGTCATTAGTTTAAAATATAGGAATCATGTTAATTGAAATCCTATAATTAAGTATATATAATTACGTTATAATTTATTTTAATATATTTTTGTCATTAGAAAAGTGAGTGGTAAATTACTACCTATGATATCAATTGTTGTTCGGTTTATGTCACAAAGTTAGTCGTCTACTACGGTCAAGTGCCATTCACTAACAGTTTATAGTTTGGTGCGTTTAAAAGTCAACAGGACTTTTTAAAAGTTGGTGTTATAAACCAAAAAACATGTTAATGTTGACACTGCTGAGAGTGGTGAGCAATAATTGGTCATTTGAGTAGACATGTGCCTCTGGGATTAACACCCAGCTGTTTCTGGAAATGGGTATTTGTAGCGACGCTATCTATTGATAATAAAGTATTTCGGATGGTTAACAGCTCTCCATATTCGTTTAAGACGAATCGTGCAAATTTTAATATTAATAAGCTGCAAAATGTTTTGTTAGTGTAGAGGTTATCCAAAACATTTATATCGATATCGTTAAAGACAACCCGGTTAATGATTTCAAACGCTTATTTGACATGCTTTTGATCGTGCAAATTGATGTCTATTGTGTTTTTACTTTGTTGCAAAGACTGTTATTTAAACAAAGAACAAATAGATAGCAACCTCGTAGTAAATTTCAATGCATTGTTGTATTACTATACATTGTCCATTCTATGAATGAAATTGATTGACAATTTTTTCCTATAGTAAGGAGCAGATGGGGTACTTGAAAAACTTTAGAAACAGTGGCTGTAATAGTAATTGATGTTATTTTATTTATTGTTCAATGTCGCCAATGTTATTTTAATAACTTTAATACACATTTGTATTACAGAATCAGAGAATTATTTTAAGAGTCCTAATAAGATTGTATTTTTGTCTCTGAACTTCTAGTTATAAATTATTTTTTTAATTATTAAAAATTGTGCAAAATGTACAAGTTACACAAGTCTTCGTTAAAATATTTAAATAAACAAGTTAACTAAATTAAAATTTTGCAATATAACCACATTTCAAGCATCTTTTATTTCAAAATTACAGTGTTTTAAAATTTTTTCTCACACCATCTCTAGTCAGTATTCATGGTGGTGATCTTTTGAAGTTTTTCAATTATCTCATAACGTTGGAGATAAAATTTTATGCTAATAACTTGCAATTAGCCTTTTGCAATAAATACTAAGCTCTTTTGAACTAAAATATTCAGTAGCTACGAGTATAAAAAATTAACTAAAAACATTAAAAATATATAAATAAGAGGTTGTCAAAAAGATTAAAATATTTAAAATGCATTTGTCCACATATGCAAATACGTACCAATATAAATGCATCTCAAGCAACATTTTAAAAAGATCTCACAGATGCGAGTCGTTCCTATCATTAACGAAACTTTTTGTTTGTTTTTAAAATTCATTCATTATCAACAACAAATAAAAAATATTTTAATTTGCAAAACGTATATGATTTCCGTTTGAAAATGAAGTTAACAACTATCGGTTCGAATTCGTAGGCTCGTAAATATTTGCCTTATTGCAGTGATAATACGGAGACGTCCACAATTTAAACCTTTTATTTGCATATATTTACAAAAATTGTCATTCATTCATTACTGTTTGCATTGGGATTTCATATCTTTTATTTGCCCTTAACCAATTCAATAATTCCAAAAAAAAACTGATAATTGCTTTCGTTTTCACGTACCTCCAGTTTCATGGAAATCTGCGGATTATGTTGCAGTTCCAGCATTTCGCTCTTACTGTAGATTTTTTCCATTTCTCGGAAAGTATACATTTAATTTTATTCAAAGATAAGAAAAACGTAATCGAAGTTGATAAATATTTATGTATCAAAAATTTTTTTTGATAATAAATACATTTCGAGTTAAGCATACGATACTGATATCTTTGAGTACCGGTCGGTCTAAAAGAGGGTCACTGTTCCACATTTATGACAAATTTTATTTACTCGTTTTTTTTTTTAAACAATTTTCGTTTTCGTACAAAATTTGTACGAATCTAGTCATCTGATTATATAGCAGCGAAAATGCTTAACTGTGTTGTTGTTGCATTATATACGAGTATATCATCCATATATTATTTTAACAGTGATAACTCGTGATTGTGGAATTAACTTCTCTAATTGTATTCCTGTTATTGCTAGTTTGCGAAAATTTACAGTGTGTTGGTATATTTTGCATATTAATAATATGGATATGTGTGTGTTCTACAAATAAAATTTTGCAAACAAAAGTTACGATTGTATCTTTTGGATAGACTCACTTACTATGACTTCTTTCATATCCGGTTATTTGCATTTATAAAGTTTGTCATTTCAAAATTATTTCCGCAAATATATTCATATCTACAATTGTTTTATACCTACTTTGTTTGAGAAAATACAATATGAATAATTATATGAATATGGCGAGTTAATAATAAAGCATTATTATTCATATATTTTCATTTACCATGATAAGAAATCTATTTCAAATAGAAAACGGGTGTTACGTGTTAACACACGGGTCCAAAACTCAAGTTTAACTTGATTCAATGCTTGCCACTATATACGGACAGTTAAATTAATAGACTAATAATAAATTTTTGGTGATATCCTAAAGAGCTGTATGGTTAGCTTCGGTTTTCATATGAAAAATTAAAAATTTTTTGGAATTGAAAATTTCCTCACTATAAGTATCTTTTTCTATTAAAAATGAATTTGAAAATTTTTTTTGGGAAAGGTTAGGTTAGGTTCGAGTGAAGGTCTTGTACACTAAGGTCCATTTGAGCTCAAGTAATAGTTCAATGTGATGCCACGGAATTGTTATTCCTTAACGATTATTGGAGCAGAGATTTTCCAACTATAAAAAAAATCAAAAATATAATCCAATTTTAAAATAATCCAGCTATTAAGAAAAGATTCTCTTCATATGTCATGTCAGTAATGTGACGGATCTTCCGATTTAAATGTGACTATAATAATTATTACTGCATATAATTTAACTGATATTATGCGCTAGATTTCATTCAATCATTCATTCATTCATTTCAATATTCCATCAACATTCAATCCATTATTTATTTTTACATAGAAGTATGTAATAAAAATGAGTTAGTATTCTATAAATTTCAAAATAGTGGAACAATAATAATAACATCGATAAGATTATATTAAACCAGTTAATCGTAAGCCACGCATAGACCAATTGATCCGTAGCGATAAAAGATAAAGCTAAACCTTTATGTACATTTTTTGTATGAGGCAATACGTTTGACCTTTCCAAACGTATTTTTAGACCATATTTTAGTAGTATTTCAGCCCAGACCCTGAGTACTGTAGTTAAAGTACACAGGGTCTGGTGTACATTCAGTATCAATATCTATCTAACAGATTTATCAATAACATTAATAAAGTCTATCAATAACGAAAATAAATCATTCCCGAGTTGGTACTTTGTTGTTCTGTTACGTAACTAACGGAGTGTAGTTATAACATGTCTTCATTATACTAATAAGATATTTTGAAGTCTTTCTCTTTAATATTTAAACATTAGATTAGGTAAGCTTATGTTAATAAGGCGATCTTAGAGATTCATTTAGGCCTGTTGTCACATTGTATTGACTGATAAAGCTTGAAGAATCTGTGCTTGCCTTTTCAGAGGAAGTTCTGTAATTGTCTTAGACTATTCAGAAAGTCAGCATGTGTAATCTATCCGTAGATTTTTCTATTCACCTAGACTAACTTGTTGTTCACCTAGACTTAAAGAAAAAATATTTCTTAAGATCACTGATGATGAGTACTTTGCAAATACTTGAAACAACATTGTATGCTTAGCTGGTAAGCCAAATTTCGATAAATTAAATAAAATTTTTGTTGTTGTTTCTTCATTACTGTTCGATCACTTCGAAAAATATTTATTTTGAAAATTTTAAATGTGAAATTGGATTTAAATCTTACTAAGGTCGAGTCTTTAACAAATGCTTAGTGGCTTTAGCATACGAATAGAGCTTCAAACAATCGTTACATTTGCAGAAAGGTCTATTACAAAATCTACATAGAGTTTTTCTGACTTTATCTTGTATCGCTGTAACAGATTAGTCTTAAATAAATAATATCGATTAATGTGAATTAAAATACTTCTATCAATTAAAACCAAATTAAATAGTACCAAATATATTTTTAAATAAATACATGATATACCATATA